TTTTTCTATTGAACTTAACCTATCCATGATGACCACTGCACCACCTTTATCTGCATTTAAAACAAACAGATCATTTTAGTGCAAATATCTAGAAACTTTATTCAAAACATAGGATTTATTTAGAACAATTACCTTATCAAAATAGACCAGGAAAGCGTTGAATCAAGATAGGCAGGATCAAAAAGTCACGTAGCAAGGTTTTACTGCATTGTGGAATATTAAATTAAGAGGTTATTAGCATTTCTATCATTGAACACACAAAAGTGATCAAAATAATTAGAATAGATAATCGATTACGCTATTCAATAGGTTTAACATATAGTGTCACTTGATAGGAGATGAACAAATACTAATCAAGTTTCTAATTACAGGTCTGACAAGCCTTAGCCTTATTTTTTGCTTTAGTTATAAGAGCTAAATACGAGAATAAGTTTATGCTTAGATAATCTGTAGATTTTCTGTAGATAATCTGTAGATTTTCTGTAGATAATCTAAATTATTATAATGTAAATTTCAATACAGAAACCAATTTGTATACACGCATATAGATCATATTTTTATTTGTGGGACTTATGATCTCCCAGCTCCGTTTAAATGCTTATTCTCGTGCATCACAGATGTTCTTTTTCCCATCTATGAAGGCGTTTTCCCTCATATTCCTCTCCACCCAATATGCGCTGCACATTCTTGTGATCAGATATTCTAAAGTGAGAGTGAATAGTCACTTTTCGACATCTAGTGTGATTGTATTAAGCGAGCTCCTGAAAACCTTAATTGCTCTCTCCTTAGCCGTCCGACAGTATGGAGCACATAATGTTCTTCGTACTCTGAAGAATGACCCTCTTGATACATTAAAAATAGGAATTCCTTCTTTTCTCTATGTAGTTCAAAATTATCTTTTGTATTCTGCAATCACCGAGCTCGATGCACCTACCTACCAGGTACTTCGTTTTGCTAATAACATTTCCTAGGTTACTTATCAATTAAAACTTATTACTACTGCTTTATTCTCGATGTTATTGCTGGGGAGAAACCAGAGCCCTTCCAGGTGGATGAGCCTTTTTATCTTGTTCGTCGGAATCTCTTTTGTCCAAGCATCGAATTTGTCGGCCACTGTACCTGGCCGAAATAGTCTGATAGGCTTTATATATGTGTTTATTGCTTCATTGACCTCTGGATTTTCAGCAGTATATTTTGAAAAGGTATTTCTTTTTACGACCTTACCCCAAATTAGGTGCTCAAATCTTCTTCCAAGTCTCTTTGGGTGCGCAGCGCGGAACTGTCCTTCTTCGGTTCTATCATTGCTTTAATCAGCCAAATTTATAGTGAACCGGCCTTGCTTCTTTCTAGTGGTTTTTTCCACGATTTTGATTGGCTAGTCTGGTGTCTAGTGATTTTACAGACAGCTGGCGGTATATTGGTAGCTGTCGTAGTAAAATACGCCGACAATGTTCTTAAGGTAAGTTAGGAAATAACAAGTTCCAAGATTTCCATCACTTAGACTACGT